GTCCCAGGACTGGCCGAGAGCTGCATGGCGGCTCCTTGCAGGGCCAGGCCTCGCAGCCCCAAGGCTCAGCCCCTCTGGACTAGGGGCTGGGATCAGCTCCTGGGACACTGTGCAGAGCCTGGCCCAGGGCCAGGCAGCCCTGAGAACAGCCCTTCAGGTGCTGACAGGCTGCAGTCTGGGCTTTGCGGAGGGTGATGGGGGGCACGGGAAGCAGCCGGCAAGGGGGGAGCTGCAGCAGCGGTTTGTAGTGGTGTTGTCATCCAGGAGGCCGGGAGGGAGGGGTTTTTGGTCGTTCAGTGTGCAGGACTAACACAGCTGCTTCTGTTAGCACGTCCAGACCTGCCAGAGCCAGGGAGGGAGTCCGGATCAGACGGAGGTGAGGGCGCTGCTCCCCACCCCACTCCCATCCTTGCTCTCCTGCCGGCCACTGCCGTCCCAGGAGGGCAGAGGACCAGGGAGCTCTCAGCCAGGTCAGGACTCGCTGCCCCCAGGAGCTCTCTTGAGAGGACAGGCACGGCTGGGCAGTGTGTCCCTGGCACTGCCTGGTGCCTGTCCTGCCCTGTCCGCAGGATGTGTGGCTGACATGCAGGTGCCCTCCACCCCCCGTGGGACCCACCTTAACCGTGCTGTCCACGGCCCCGGAGAAGAGGCGGCCCCGGGAGACGGCGAGGGCCGTCACGCTGCCCTGGTGGCGCAGCAGCGTCTGCGTGCAGATCATGTTGTCCATGCTCCACACCTAAAGCATAAGCAGGGGAGGGTTACTGATGCTAGGCCCAGTGCCAGGGACTGCCAAGGAGAGGTGCCACGGTGGAGGATGATACCTGCACCCAGTGCCAAGGACCAGCTGCTCTCCCGCACCTGCCAGAGCAGGGGACGCTTGCACTGGACAACTGGCACCAGCCAGGGGCATGAACAGAAGGCCTGAGCCACTGTGCATCAGCGCTCTGGCCCTCCTGTGGGCCTGAAGGCCCCACAATGAGCCTAGACCAGTCCCGCCCCCATGCTGTCAGGGCACCCGGACACAGGCTGGGAGAGCTGAGCCTTGCTCAGGGAAGGCATGACGCCAAGAGTGGAGCCTTGCCCAAGGGAGGCATGACGCCAAACCTGGCTCCCATGGCTCGGCTTCTGCCATGGATGCTCAACTTGCACCCACAGGGGTGGATTTCTGTCTGGGAGAAAGGCTTTTTCCACCCTGCTGGGACTGAGCAGCAACACTGCAGCAAAGGGCTCCAGGCATTTCAGGGGCATGGGGGGCTCCTATGTCTAGGCAGATGGGGGGCAGCCAGACCTGCTTTCCAGGCAGAGCCAAAGGACTCACGATCAGTGAAGCGTCAGGACTGGAAGGAAGTGAGTCCTGAGCCACCAAGCAAGCTCCTTGCCTTAAAGCTGGCTTGGAACTGGTGGGCAAATGCACCAGGAGCTGGCTCCCATGCACCCTCTGCCTCGGCTCCCACCCACGGACCGCACTTCTGGCACCTGCCAGCCCAGGGCAGGACCCAGACCTAAAGCACCTAGGAAGCCTCTGCCCCAGCACGTACCCTGAGAGACCGGTCATAGGAGGCGCTGAAGACTTTGGTCTGGTCGGGTGTGGAGATGACGGCCAGGGCATACACTGTACCCACATGCCCAGTCAGCGTCCGCACCTGCTCCTTGGACTCGATATCCCAGACCTGTGAGACGAGGGAGATGGCTCACAGCCCAGCGCAGCACACAGGGGAGCCCAGTACAGGCCAGGCAGGGTCTGAGAGCGGTCCAGCACGTGCGTGGATGGAAACACAAGTGTCCAGCACCAAAGGTTGCACGGCTGGTGGGTCATGCACCAGGTAAGAGGGATGAGACAAAGAGACGGAGCACAGTGCCATTGGGGCTGCCAATGATGGCACTCAGGGATGAACACTGCCGGGGACAAGGAAGGGAAACCCTGCTTCTGCTACTAGCCAGTGCTGGAGAGAGCACCTTGGGCTGGACTAACCCATAGTCCTTTGGCTCTTAGGAGCTGCCCAGCAGGCTCAGCAGGGGCCGAGAGCAGGCTGCTGGTTCAACCCCGTTCATGCCCTGCCACGTCCTTACGTGGATGAGGTTCTCGTAGGTGCCACACACAATGTGGTGGTTTGTCACAGCGATGGAGTAGACGCTGCCCCCCGATGTCTGTAGCACGTGGACGCACTCCAGGTTCCGGATGTCCCAGATCTGCAAGAGCCAACGGGACGGGCATGAGGGTCCCTGGGCTGTGGCAGCCCCAGCTCCAGAGGGGCAAATGGGGCATGTGTCACCACACCAAACTGTTCTTGGTGCTGAGGGAGCCCATTGGCAGCCAGGGGCCCCTGCCCTGCTCTAGGGCCCACTGGGCTCTTCACCCTGCCACCTTTCCTGCTCCTCTCTCCATGTGCCAGCCTGGCTGTGGGAGCCGGTCACAGTGCTGCATCTGAGTCACCCATTGCAGGATCTCAGGCCAGGGCTGCTTAGTGCTCTCCAGAAACAGCAGGCCCAGGGTAGGGACCACCTGTTTCTGGAGCCTAGGTGTGAAGGGGCCTTTTGGATGCTGCGTGTATCATGTGTGCACACACATGTGCACACACCAGCGGACAGTACAAGGGGCAGGCAGCAGGAGACTGTAGGGGATTTGATCAGCATGGAGCGGCAGCCCTCCATCCCTCCAGTGCAGTCCAGGTGACAAGAGCAGAGCTGCTCAGCGCAGGCCCGGGTTATTCTGGGAGCAGAGCATGGATCTCTGCAGTCCAGACAGCAACCCGCTCCCCTTATCAGCTCAGCTGCCAGTGCAGCTACAAGCCTGGCTATGAGCCGTGCTTCTCGGTTCCTGTCGCACAGCAGCTGCATGGGCCCCTGGGCAAACACTAGTGTACTGGCAAGGCAGCTGGGGAGCCCGGCTCCAAGGCTTGCTGCTGCCTGGGATTTTGCCTGCCCAGTGCTGGGGGCAGGCGGGCAGGCAGGCCCCTCTGCTAAGACCCCACATGCCTTCTAGGAGGGACATGAGCCACTGGTGAACACGCACCTTGATTGTCTGGTATGACCCACTGTAGAGATAGTTCTGCGAGGCCACGAGCGCTCGTACCCAGTGGTTCAGACCCGTCAGCTCCTTCTTCAGCTTCAGCTCAGTGCCGACAATGTCCCAGACCTGCGGCAGGTGCACTCACTTAGTGGGGCCAAGGTGGATCAGCTCCTGCCCCCCCTCCAACCCGAGCCCCAAAACAGGCTTCTTCCCAAAGTGGGGAGCCCGTGCTGATACCCCACGGGTCTGAGGCTGGTGGGAGAAGACACCCACTGGAGCTGCTCACTCAGATAAAGCCCAAACCACTGAATTAGGGTTGGAAGCACATTCCCAGAGCCCCAAGGGTGTCTGTCTGGGAAAACTGTGCTGCCACTGCAGAGATGCACCCCAAGCCAGAGAGGGAGCAACACAGAGCACACCCCCCTGCCCGACACTCTGGAGCTCCATGCAAGGGACTGGGAGTGCCCTGACTGCACACACCCCACAAAACGACGGACGGAGGAGTGTGCAGGGGGTGGCACAGATGGACGTGTGACAGGAGGAATGGCCGTCTGACTCACAACAGCCTCACAACCTGCTCTACTCAGGCAGCAGAGAGGGGCAAGGTCTTGGGTTTAATGCCTGAATGCGGGCTCTGCCCAACTCTCAGTGCTGCACAGCCTGGAGTCCTGAAGCCCGTGATGAACAACCAGGACCTGTGGCAGCCCTGGGGAGGTCGCTCGGTGCACAGGAAGGGCAGAGCCCAGCCAGGCACCCTGTGATGCCAGGAGCTGGCAGCTGAGCTGTATGCAGAGCCCAGGCACCAGCCAGTACGGTAACGAGTGATGTCTGGGCCTGAGCTGAGGCCCCTCATGGGCCCTGACTGCCAGAGTATGAAAACCAGGTCGGACTCGCAAACCCCTGGCCAGCCTGACAATTGTGGACCCCAAGCCCAGCTCTCTGCTGTCAGTCACTGGCACCCAGCCCCGAATGGGCATGTGTGTTTGCACACAAATGTGCGAACACGTGCACAGACCCTGACGCCCACAGTCGCAGGCAGGAGAGACCGTTAGAACCAGACAGACAAGACCTTTAGCCAAAGGCTTACAGGCCTTTGCTTTCAGGCCTTCACCACGAAGCAGCAGCCCAGCCACTGGAGGGTCTGTCCCCAGGCAGGCCCCGCAGGGAGCATTGCCGGGGTGCTAAGAGAAACATGGATCCCCCCTGCACCCTGCATCCCATCACTGCAGTGCCTCCCCGGCCTCCACCTTGATGGCTTTGAGGGAGCCGCTGAACAGCATGTTGTGTGAGGAGACCAGCGTGCAGACGGGATTGTCGTGGGCTCGGATGGTGTTCACCTTCTGCAGGGTTTGGATATCCCAGACCTGCCAAAAGGGGAATCAGGCAGTTAGGGGCTGGGCTGCCCCAGGGCTGAACCCTCTGCCCCCTCCCAGCTTTGGCTTCCTGCCCTGGAGAAACCAGCAGCAGGAAACTCTGTGAAACAGCGCGGGCAGCTGCGATGAGGGATTTGCTCTGTGGTGCCAAGCGACAGCTAGCAGCGTGCCCTAGCTATCTGGGTCTGCCTGTCTCTGGCTCCATAGTGGGGTCCGAGGTCCTCCCCACTCTCCTGAACCGGATGCTCCCCCAAGATAATCTTTGGCCATGACAGAGCAGAGCCAGGAAAGCCCTGGCCAGTGAGAGCTGGGTGTTGAGACCAAGCTCGCTGTGGCTGGGCGCAGGGCACCCACACACTCATAGGACCCTTGGAGAAGACCACACCCAACTCCTGTTAGCATAAAAATGCCAGCACACATACGGGAAAGTGCCTCCCTGGGCCCCATGTGTGTCAGGCTATCTGCCATGTGCTGCTAGCCTGGGGCCATCCTACAACCTTCCCGTCTGGGCTCCTAAACGGAGCAGCACTGGGGCAGGGGGTGGGGGAGCCGGTACTCACAATGATGGTGCAGTCCGCCGAGCCGCTGTACAACCTGTTTCTGTGACACCGCAAGGCAAGAAGAGCCTGTCAGCAAGGTGGAGTTCACGCTGGCAGAGTAAAGGGGGCTACAGGGTGCCAAGAACCTGCCATTCCCCCCTTGTCACCCCCTCTCAGGTGAAGTTGACCCCCTCCCAAGGTGGGATGCTGCCCTACTGGACAAGCCAGCCCCTAGCACAGTCTCCGTACAGCCCACAGGGCACATGCCCTCCCTGCCCAGCCCACTCCAATCTCAGTGCGCAGGGGGCAGGAGCTGCGGGCTGTGCCGTCCTGTCTGCCCAGCGAGAACCCAGTGCTTTGTCCCACCCCTGCCGACACAGCCAGCTGTTCTCCACAAGGCCCTGAGTGCTGGCAGCATCCTTTAGGCGTGATGGCGAGGCAGCAGCCAGGGGCATGGGGACCAGGAGGAAGGGGCATCTTCCTTACAGGCCTTTTCCCACTTGGCTCTCTAAAAGGAAGTCTCTGGGATTCCTTTAACAGGCTGCACATCCTAAACATAGGGTACATACAGGAGCCAGGCCCCAGGATGTGTGGGCACATGGGAGGCCGGAAGGGTATTAACGTCCCCCCCACCTTGCTTGCAGCACAGACCCCAGGCGCAGAAGGACCGAGGCACTCACCCCTGAATGCAGAGAGCTAGTACAATTCCATCGTGACCCTCCAAGGTCTTTTGGCACTTGTACGTGGTACAGGTATCCCACACCTAACAGGAAACAGAAGGGAGCAGAGCATCACGTGCCTGCCCCAGCAGCCCAGCAGGAAGGCAGCCAGGCTGCGAGAGCAGGGACAGCAGGAAGCAGCTGAGCAGCTGTGTACTCTGCACCTGCTTTCCCATCTCTTGGGCAGAGAGATAAGTGGGTCTAGGAAAGGAAACGTCACGCTGAGGGTCACCATGAGCTTCTGAGGGACACCGAACAGTGAAATGAGGCTCCTGCAACCTCCTCAGATGCCCCTGCCACCATCCTCAGGCAGGACAAGACAAAAAGACAGTCTGCTGGAGACTGGGCTACAAGACTCCTAGGCAACCCCAGGCAGAGGAGCCCTGCCCTCTCGGGGGCGGTGGGAGCCTACAAGAGATGAGCGCCAGTCACTGCCCACTGGTCCTTCCTGGCTCTTTCAAGGCTTCGGCCCAGAGGGGCTTTGGGTGCTCAGGACCGTGGGGAATTTGCACGAGTGTCCTCGAGGGTGACCCTGGGGCCCGGCTCTGTGAGTGGAAGACACTGCAGGACAGCTGCTGAGGGGCCTGTGCATTCAACCTGCCCCTGCTCCTGCTCCTGAACACAGAGCCAGGGAGTGACACCCCTGCATGGCAGCACTGGTGGCTCCAGGCAGTGGAGGGCAGGTCTGAAATTAGGTGCTGTATCTAGAGCAAAGGATGAAAATGTCCAGAGTCCAGCCTTCCCCAGCCTCAGGGGCCTGAAGCTCGTGCCACTTCCCAGGCAGCAAAGTATCCCCAACCCCATCCGTGAGGGAAGGAGGTAAGTACTGCTACTGCCTTCTTTCGGGGCGGGGGGAAATGAGCCTCAGCCATTGCCACAGAGGCTGTCAGTGGTGCTAGAAGACCCCAGCAGTTGTGGAAGTCAAGGGAGCCAAGGGGAGA